AAGAATATCATGCTAAGTGAAATAAGCCAGACTCAAAAAGTCAAAGGTTGAGGATTTTCTTTTATATGCAGGAGCTAGAGAGAAAAAAAAGTAAGTTTATGAAAGGACAGAGTCATAAAAATACAAGAGAAAACAGCAGGGGAAGAGGATCAAGGAAAAGAGAAAAAGAGGGAAAGGTACCTACTGGAAAATGAAACTGACCAAATTATGCTATATGCATGTATGAAGACAGCACAAAGAATTGGAATTCTTCTTCTTCACAAATATATGAAAAAATGTTCAACATTCTAATGCATAATCACAAGGCATCAATTAAAAAAATAAAAAGAAGACTAGAAGAATAGAGAAAGGGGATGAGAGGAGATAAAGTGGAAGTACTAAGAATGAAATGGAGCAAATTATGTTATGTGCATGTGTGAATATGTCACAATGAATCCCACTATTATGTACTAACAAAATGTGTTCATTATAAATTGAAAATTTAATGTATGGATTTTCTGACCTAGATACACTACATCTAGGGATTCATCCTACAAATGATATTCACTTGTCTGAGAGAATGATATTAGAATCAATCTAAGAGTTTACCAAAGGGGACTTAAAACTATTTTTCATCACAGGGACTATATATCCATGCAATGCAATGCTATACAGTTACTCAAGAGGATTAGGTAAAGGACGTGCTGATATGGCTTGATCTTTAAAAGACATGGTTAGGCAGAGTATGACACTACTTGCATTTCCAACCAATCTCCCTGTCAAAAGATAAACACATGCACACATATGTACAGACTCACAAGCATGCACATGCAAACACTTGTCTGTGCAAGAATGTCAAAGAAAAAAGATAAATAAAAAAGAATAAAATAAAAAAGAATCTCAATACCAAAAAAACTTGTCAGTGTCTGCTTACCTAAAGGAAGGAGTATTGAACTCAGAGGTAGAAAAACTAACTTACGTTTCTGCATTTTTTATTTTGTTATTATATATAATTTTAACATAAGTATGCATTACTTAACAAAAGAATATATTACAACTTTAAAGAAATAGGCAGGTGTCCCCTTTCATCACCTCAAAATAAAAATTTGAAAACTTCCACTCTAAATCTTCTTAAGAAATTTTTCCAACCCTAAGTGGGCTTTGTATTTTAATGCTAAAGCTTACCAAAAATCAGAATTTAATATATTTATATATAAGTCCACAATGTGTTCATTACATCATGCTGATTCCCTAAAAGCATGAGCAAGATGCTATCTAATATATTCTTCTGTTTCCAGCACCAAGCATATTGCAAACACTCAACAAATGTTTCTGAAAGAATAATAAGGTGTGGGAGGGCTCAAGATTGCAGAATAGATAGACTCAGTCTTAGTTTGGTTCTTCAAACACAACTGCTTGTGGAGGTGGGTAACTTGGGTGAGTACTGGAAATTGTACAGACAATGTAACTAAGTGAACTCCAGAGAATAAGGAGAATGATGAAGCAAGAGAAGCAAGATACCCCAGTGGTGGGGGAAAGGGAAACTTCCCTCCAAGGAAGTAAAGGTAAAAGAGAAAGTGTCACAGTGTGACTCAGAAAGTTGAACACTGAAGACAAACAGCTTAAATAAACAGGTGATCTGGAGTCTGCAAAACAAGCAGGCTTTAGAGAAGAAATTCATTGCATCTCTCAATAAATTCTCGGATCCTACTGTCAAGACACTAAACTCTCTGGGGATCATAAAACTGAGAATAATCATACTTCAGGGTTCCTGTGGATATCTTTTTGCATTTAGTGGCTGGGCAGTGGCTACACGAGACAGTTGTGGCTTAGATAAGTGTTTCTGACTTAATCCAAGCATCAATGGCTATTACAGGAAAGGGAGTGGAAGGCACAGCAAGCAGATCAGCAATGCTGCCCTCTGTGATGCAGAGCAATATCAGTTGCATGTAGCTTCAAGCAGAAGTCAGCTCTAAAGGCTCAGGGATAAAATCTAGTCAATAACTTGGTCCCTGAATAACCTCTCCAGCCCAGAGCTCCAAGTTTCAATTCTTCTTCCTTCTTCCCATCCCTTTGAATCATTCCAGGGATCCAAATATGGCTTTGACATTCACCATGCCCCAGGATACATAGACTAAAAACCTCCTGAGAGAATATACTCCAGGTGTCATACACACTCTGCCCAAAATTGGTCAGCCAGAAGGTTTTGCTGCAGCTCTGACATATGCCATGTACCCAGTTCTGCATGAACCCTAACAAACACTTCTACTTAAAGAAAAGAGGTATACAGGCTCTCAGCTCTTGACCTATCCCCAGAGAAGCATAGATAGAGGGAGGCTGAGGTCTGGTTCTTGGGCAAATACCCCACGGTAGCAGCAGAAAGAGAAAACACAGTAGTTGATTACATCACATCTATGTGAATCCTCTACATCAATCACAGCTGCATCTGGTCAGAGTGCATAGGGCTCATAAGCCTGAAGTGAGTGCAACAGAGGGGGAGCTGTGTGATTCCAGCTGGCCCTCCCTGTGAAGCACTTAGATCTGTACCAGTCTCTGATCAGAGAACCAGAGCTTCAAGACTTTCAACGTACCTAGAACACCAAGAATCAGAATCACTTTCAAATAATAGTTACTATGAATAGTGCTTTGGGAGCTAATGCCTCCATAATAGGAGTAACTACACAGAGGCATATCTCACATTCTCTGCCACCTATTCCATATGTGCCTAAAGTACTATAATACCCCTACCCTAACAAGTCTTGCAGAGACAATAGGTCTTTCTAATCCTGTTATGGTATACTCTGTGCCCAAAACCACAAATTGTAACCAAAAAAATTATAGGAAGATTATACTATGGAGTCAAATTGGAAATAAACTCAATATTACACAACAAATCAAAACTCCAAGTCACATTAGCAGAAGAAAGGCACATACTGTGAAGGCTATCACATGAAAATGGACAAATTTCATTAGAACAGACGCTCAAATCTCAATACAGAAACACAGAAATATGAAAAAACAAGGTAATATGTCACCTCTCAAAGTTCTTCACAGTAAAAGATTTCAAAGATATTGAAGTAGGTAAATGCCAAAGTAGTCATAAAAGTCATTTTTAAAAGCTCAATGAGATCCAAGAGAAAACAGTTGAATGAATAAAAAAAAAATCAGGATATAAATTCAATAAAGAGATTGAGATTTTATAAAAGGACCAAATAAAAATCAAAAGCTCAATACACAGGAAAAAGACTCAGTTAAAAGCCTCAACAACAGAATAATCAAGTAGAAGAAAAAGTATTAAAGCTTAAGAACAACTGTCAAAATATTACAGTAAGACAGCAAGACAAAAAGACAACATATAAGGTCTCTGAGTATTATGACTTGTATATGGAATGTTCCCTTAAGGCTGATGTGTTGAAAGCTTGGTCAGACTTTTGGGAAATATTTGGATTATGAAGGCTCAGACTTCATCAGAGGACAAATAATTTGATAGTATTTATTGGGAGGTGATAGAAATGGTAGAAGGTGGGACCTAGTCGAATCAGTAGTCCTTGGAGACATGCCACTGGGATTATCTCATGTCCCTGCCACTCAGCTTCCTGGCTGTGATGCCACTAGTGACTATATCTTGATACTTGATATCGTGTCCCTAACCCCTTTTTGTGCATGTGCACTTGCTATTCGTCCCTGAAGTTTCCTGGAAGCTCTGCTCTACCATGCCTTTCCTCCATGATGTTCTACCTCAACTTAGGCCCAAAACAACGGAGTCAGCCAATCATGAACTGAAACTTCTGAAACTGAGTCAAAAAAAAAAAAAAAAAAATCTTTGCTCCTTTAAGTTGTTATGTCTGTTGTTTTGGTCACAGGGATGAAAAGCTGACTAACACACTAGGACACCATTAGAAGATCAATTGTATAATTTGCATACCAGAAGGTGAAAGCTACATTAGAGAGAACAGAAAACATATACAGTTATAGAATAGCAGAAAACTTCCCAAATATTGGGGAAAATATACAGGTATAGGAGGCATTTATATCCCTAAATAGACATGGCCAAAAAGAACCTCTACACAACATGGTTATAATGCCAAAAGTACAAAATAAAGAAGAATACAAAAAGATGCAAGAGAGAAGCACCAAGTCACACAGGTAAACAAATCAACATAACAGCATATATCTCAGTAGAAATACTAAAGGCCAGAAGGGCACAGGACAATATATTTCAAATCCTGGAAGAATATAACTACTAACCAAGATTACTACTCCCAGCAAGGTTATACCTCAGAATTGAGGAAGAAATAAAAAATTTTAAAGGTAACACAGATTAAGGGGGGGTGGGAGTGAAATTCATGACCTCTAGACCAGTACTGCAATAGATGTTTAAGGGAATTCTATCCTCAGAAGAAGAAAGATAAAACAAAATCATGAGAGGATGTAAAAGAATAAATCTCACTAGACTATACAAGAAGATGTGCAAATGAGAAATAGAAAAGTGACATTATCAATACAATAAACCAAAATAAATTAATAATAAGTATCGAAATTCAAAAAAAAAAAAAAAAAGCCTTCAAATAAAGAAAAGCTCAAGACTGGATGGATATGCTGCTGAATTTTACCAGACTTTAAAAGAACCAATCTAACCAAGATGGCAAGCTAATAAGACAGTTAAGATTAGAAAATGATTCAAAAACTTTGCTATTCTACTTTTTTTTTTTTGAGTACCAAGTATTGAACTCAGGGGCACCCAAAAACTGAGCCACATATCCAGCCCTATTTTGTATTTTATTTAGAGACCTGAGTTGCTTAGTGCCTTGCAGTTACTAAGGCTGGCTTTGAACTTGTGATCCTCCTGCCTCAGCCTCCCAAGTCACTGGAGTCACAGGCCTATGCCAAGGCGCCTGGCCAATTTTACTTTTTATTAGTATCTTGATAAACCAACAGAAACTATTTCTTACTTTTGTAAGAGCAGTGTTTTATCTTTTAAATTAACTTTAGATCATCCTCAGGACAATTTGCCAACTTACAGTGTTAGTTGGGTCTTCTTGTAAAATTCGATCATATAGCTGTACAGCATCATCATATCTATTTAAAAAGAAAAAGGAAAATCGAGAGTCATTATCTTTAAAATGCAGTGATAATAGTAAATACAGAAAAAGATTTAACTGGCAGGGCTTCAACTGCATTCATAATTGATGTCCAAGTCTTCTCATCTGCATTTAAAAGGGAAAGTCTACTACAGTCTAAGTTTTTAAATAAAAGCATACTGTATATAAAATACTTACCAGAAAACTTCAAAAAACACTGATTGAATTTGGTCTGAATACAAAGGTAAAAACTAGCAACACTGTTTGAATAGAGAGCAAGCATCAGAACCAAACCTGGGACATGGCAGAAATGTTAATAAGTAATACACAGTACAAACACCTATGTCCAAATTAATGGTTCTAATGGGAAAAGAGGACAAGAGGCAAAAACAGATGATAATGTAAACAGACGAAGATTCATTTCTATGTCTCTGATTATTAGAAAAGCCTTACAGATTGAAGACACCAAACCATAAGAATATATTCAATACTCTTACTGAATAGATCATGCTGGATGACATTCTCACTGGTATGACTCATCTTTTTATCCTACCATTACAAACATAAATCTTTGAAAACAGACTTTATTTTCTATGTTTTGTTCCTTATGGACACCTCTCAGAATATTTGTTCAACTTTCTCATTGTTCACAGCTAACTATCAAATACCTCAAACTTAACAAGTCTTTCTACCTGAAATATTTCTTCCTCATTCTATGTACTTTTTTTTCCTTTTTTCCATTTGGTAGATAACATTTGAACATTCAAGATAGAAAACCAAAAGGCATTTTTAGTTTCTTTTTCTCTTTCATTTATAAAATGTAATCAGTAGCCTATTTTCTGACCCTCTCAATTTCTTTTCATCTTACTCTCTCTACAATCTCTGCTACAGTTTATAACTCTAGTGCAACAATCTCAAAACTGCTTCCTTTCTGAAACTACTCACTACACATCCATATTACAATGTTCTTACAGACAAATCCAACTGTTATTCTTTCCTTAAATTCCTATAATGGTTTCCTGTTACTCTCAGTTGAAATTTCTTAGTAGGGTATATGAAGTCCCACACAATCTGGTACCTGCCTGTACCTCTAGCTTCAGTCCCAAATAGCAACTCCATCATTCATTACATTCTAGATATAATGAACTCGTACTTCTCCTGGAGTACCTACAGATATGCTTCTAAAGTTATCATTGAAGAGGGAGCAATAGACAACGCTTCAATTAAAACAAACTATTTCAGCCAGTCATGGTGGTGTATGCTTGTAATCCCAGTGGCTTGGGAAGCCAAGGGAGGAGGATCATGAGTTCAAAGCCAGCCTCAGCAACCCTGAGCACTGAGCAACTCAGTGAGACCTTGTCTCTAAATAAAATACAAAATAGGGCTGGGGATGTGGCTCAGTGGTTGAGTGACCCCGAGTTCAATCCCCAGTATCATAGGAAAAAAAAAAAAAAGGACCATCTTTTTTTCTCTTTTCCATTACTAGGTTAAGAGTACACTTAGAAACAGAATTCTATTTTTTAAAAAGGTTGTAACTCCAATCTAGATAATAGTGTCATTCATTTGCTTTGAATGTGTGTATGTGTTTCTAATCTAGATAATAATAGTGTCTTTCATTTGCTTTGAGTGTGTATGTGTTTGGGTCTGTGCATGCATGTGCTATGTATATTTCTCAAAACAACCTTTACAAATTGGCAATATCTGTACTTTAGAGGCATAAATTTGAAAAGAATTTAAAAAGTTAAATAATTTATCAAGTCAAAGCTAGGAAATGCTGAAACAAGACTTTGAAGCCAGCTCTTACTCCAAAGCATGATCTAATTTCAGAAGGTTAGAGATGGTAAATGGGTTACATTACCCATTTCCTGGGAGTAACTGACAGGATTTGTGATGAGAAACACTTTGACACTATTCTAGAACTCGGCAGCAAGAGACCTCGTGCAATGAATGATGTGCCATGAGCATGAGAGAACCTAACACAATCTCCATTTTGCCATTTTTAAATGGAATCACATTGTTCACCAGATTTGGTTACCTTTCCATGGCTTCAAATCTCATGCCTGTTAATCGTTTGACTCTATGACTGCCAGGGAACTGTCTTCTTAACTCCTGAAGACAAAACTGAAAAAATAGTTGGTAAAAAAAGACTTGAACAGTAGTAATTACCTTATATATATTAAATGGGTTACAAGGAATGGTTTACATAGTTTTTACTATGTCTGAAAATTTCTTGTTAGTTCCACTTAACTTTTCTGTTCTTTTGTTTTGTATTTAAAAATGGATGCTAGAGACTAAACTCAGGGCCTTTATGTAGTAGGCAAGCACTCTACCTCTGAGCTACAACCCCAGCCCTCAATTAACTGTTAAGAAAAATAGTCAATACTAATTACAGAAAATATTCAATACAAGCCATGCACCAAGTCTTAATCACTTATATATAAATAAAGCAAGTTAAATATAAAATAGGCCAGGCATGGGGGCTCACACCTATAATTCCAGCAACTCAGGAGACTGAGGCAGGAGGATTGCAAGTTCAAGGCCAGCCTCAGATTCTTAGTAAGGCTCTAAGCAACTTAGTGAGACCCTCTTTCAAAAGATAAAATAAAAAGGGCCAGGTATGTTGCTCAGCTGTTAAGTACCCCTGGGTTCAATCCCCAGTCCAAAAAATAATAATAATAATTAAATACCTACCAATGCCAAGTCATCTCGACCATAGTCTAGGGCTGCAATCATCACCTGTTCGTATATGATCCAAACTAGATAAATAAAGAGGGGGAACACAGTTTAAAATAAAAATCTGCTAGACATAAGTTAATGTATTCTTTAGTTTGTGATATTTTAGAGAATATAACTTATAACTGAAAACTGATTTATTATTTCCAGAATAATAAGGAAAGAAAGCATCCTTTCAGGTATATTTCAAATATATTTTGGTATCTTATGAGGTAAAAAAAATCCAATATTAAATACTTTTACTATTCTAAGATTCTTCATGAAACACATTTTGGCAAGACATCTGGTGGCTTGTAAGCTTTAAAATAAAAATGCCTATTTGATAGCCTCACTTTTACTAGCAATTTTTTTTAAGAAAAAAAATAAATAAAGTATTAAATTTTATGAAACAAAAAGTCACAGGTAAGGGTGATCTGACCAGTAGAAAATACGTAAGACAAGTTAAAAAAAGAGAGAAAAACCATAAATGAAATGTGCTGAGTCTGAATGTAATAAATTAACAGAAGAACTTACTATCATCTCCAAGCTTAGAAGCATATTCATTAATTAACTCTTCTCCAACTTCCACAATTTGCTCACTATTTCTTGAGTTTTCTTCTCTCCATTTCCTCATTTTATCTCGCATTTCTGAAAACATAAGCTAGTTATTTTTTCATATTATATACATACACACACACACAAATGATAAGACATAAAAATAACTGACAAAATGAAATCTACTATTTGTGTAAAGAAAATAAACTCATATTAATGTAGAAGTCTACCATATCTCCAAGTTGATAAAGTAGTACATAAATTGAATAGATTGTTTGGAAGAATGAAAAAGCATCAGAAGTGATCTATCTTTAAAAGTAATGAATGGCATGAATCTGCTACACAGATGCTTTTTCCTTGCAGCAAGAGTGTGTCTTAACTTTTGGGGGGGTCACAGACCTTTCAGAGTTTGATAAAAGTCAGGGATTATTCTTCCAGAAAAATACAATTATCTATAGAAATTTTTAAATACTCAAGGTATTTTGAAGTTTACTCATTGATCCAGGAATGTAAAAATTTCATTATAATTATTATATTAGACTATCAGCAATGAAGGAATATTCAACATAAATTTCCTTAATGTTACAGTGCCATGAAAGGAAGTAAAAGTAAAGGAAATCTTTTGTTATTTTAAATGAGGAATAATATAAATAATGTAAAATAAAGCCAAAAGCACTGACAAAAATAAAAATCAACAGAACAACTTTGCATATTATAATACAACAGGGAATTCTGCAAGTTTCAAAGAACAGCATTGCTACCGTGTGAATGTATCTTCCAAAGTTCATGTGTTGGAAATAAATCCCTAATGCAACCATGTTGAGAGGAGGAACCATTAAAGAGGTGATTAATTCATGAGGGCTCTACCTAATGAATGCACTATGTCATTATCACAGGAATGGGTTATTTATCACAAGAGTTGATTTCTGATGACAGTATGAGTTTCAGCTTCCTACTCTTCCGCACATTGTTTTGTCCTACTGCTATGGAATAACAAAAGCAAGGCCTCTGGTAGATACAGACCTAGATCCTGGACTTCTAGTCTCCAGAACTGTAAGTCAAATAAACTTCCCATTCATTACAAAAATGTCTGGGTTATTGTCATAACAGCTCAAAACAGACTAAGAACTAATAATAATAGAAATACACACACACACACACACACACACACACACACACACAGAGGTATCTCATTTAGTCCCTTTTTTTCCCCTACAATATTAAGGACTGAATGTGCCTCCTCTCAATTCTTAATGCCCAATGTGATGATATTAGGAGGTGGCGCTTTGGGGGAGTTTATCAGTGCCTTTAAAAACAGTAAGAGACAGGGCTGGGGTTGTGGCTCTGTAGCAGAGTGCTGGCCTAGCACTTGCAAGGCCCTGGGTTTGATCCTCAGCACTACATAAAAATAATAAAGTAAAGGTATTGTGTCTAACTACAACTAAAAAATAAATTTAAAGGTGCTAGAGACTGTGTCTTTTCTCTTTCCTCTACATTGGGTGAGGAGAAGTAGGCTTCCTACCCTTACTAAACACTGGCTCTTCGAGCACCTGCTTCTCAAATTTCCTAGCCTTGAGAACTATGTGGAATCAATATTTTTTGTTTAGGATGTCCAGTCTATGGTATATTTGTTACAGTAGTCTGAAATGAGTAAAACACATAGTTTAAAAACAACCATCCATGCTTCTTATTACTATCTGAAAATCTTACATATATTCTACACTTTGAAGTTATCACCTTCTTCCTTCTATAGACATAAATGTCAGACAGATTTAAATAGTTGAATTGAATATTGTTGAACAGATGAGTGAAATGAACAGTACACTGCAGCTCTGTATCATATAAAGAAAATTTATCACAAAATGAATTTAATTTAAAAAAATGGCCCCAGAATTGGTAAAATCATGACAAATCATGAAAGAGTAATATACAGTTAATTTCTTCTTCTGAAACATATAAGTCGGTTTATATTTTATTCTGCACAGAAATGACCTTGAACTAAGTTTTAAAGGTCAAAAAGGAGTTCATAAGGCAAATAAAGTAAATTTTCTTATTAAGAATTGCTGGGCCTGGGACTGTGGCTCAGTGGTAGAATGCTCACCTAGCATGCATGAGGTACTTCAGCAACACAGAAAAATAAAATCAATACATTGTGTCCACCTAAAACTAAAAAAATAAATATTAAAAACAAAAAGGGAGGAGGAAGAGGAGGAAGAGGAGGAGGAAGAGGAGGAGGAGGAGGAGGGCCTAGCTGGGTGTGGTGGTGTATGCCTATAATCCCAGCAGCTCCGGAGGCAGTAGGATTGTGAGTTCAAAGCCACCCTCAGCAACAGCAAGGCACTAAGCTGTCTCTAAATAAAAAAGAAGAAGAAAAAAGAACTGTCTCTAAATAAAAAAGAAGAAAAAAGAACTCCTGAAGGGCTGGGGCAGTGGCTCAGTGGTGGGGCACTGTGTTTTATCATCAGCAACACACAAAAACAAAATAAAGGCATAATGTCCATCTACAACTACAAAAAAAAAAAAAAAAAAAAAAAACCACCTCCTGAAGCTGGGTTATTCTTATTCATAGTTATCTTAGGGCATATCTTCTGGATGTTTTGTGATAATACTTAAAATTAACTTCTCCTCCCCCTCCTACCTACTGCTTCTAACATCTGCATTTTCACTACTTCTTATTTTTTGCATTTTTCCTAGAAAAATTAATAGCACCATTTATCTTTCCTTCTTCATAATATAACTCCTGCTCATTATTTGAGATATAGACCTGCTCTTTGAAATTATGTTTTTAAAAAGCATATCCCCTTTCTTACAACAGTGTTATTTGCACAATCTACAAGAAATAAATTTTAGAAAACAACTCTTTCAAGTATGTTCATACATATATATGTGTATAAGTTGAAATTAGAACTTCACTTGAAAAGTATTCGCATGAACATTCCATTCTGTTCTATTCATTCTGTCTTATTCCCTTCCCCACAAATGCTGCAAGAAGTACCCTAAGTTAATTTCATATTCCACTACTGGGTTGCATTATAGAGTTTGAAAAACTCTTTTGCTGAGTTCTCTGTACATGATAATAAAATAATTCTTCCTTTTTTCAAATCAGGTGACTTGTTCTTTCAGAATGGGTCTTTTCAACATCCTGTGACTACTCCAATTAAACAAATTCATAGGACTACAGATAATTTAAAATTTATTATCTCCCAGGTATCTTACAGAGTATGATGTTTCATGTAAATGAATCTGTATTACTTGGGAGTATATAATTAAGTGAAGTATGGAAAATATAGGATTGGAGTAAGGAGTTTTGAATTAAGAGTCATCAGAGTAAGTAGCAGGCGTGTTTTTCCATCTTTCCGAGGTTAGTTGTCTTACCACAGTGACACCTAGTCCTCATGGAAGGAATAAGCAGAGTAATCCTAGTCACTCTCATAACCTTTGCTCTTTAGATGACCCCACGTGGTTTACACAGTTAATTGTTCAGGTAAGCAGTGAGCAGCTTATTTTACACATATATAATAAAACCACCTTAATTTTGAGGTGCTTACCTCTTGGTGGGGGTACTTAGGGTAAAATAAAAAGTTTAACCCACCCTTGAGTAAAGAGTGCTAGAAAAGCCTTTATTTCTAGCCAGTGGCTGAAACACTTATCAGTTGTTTTTCCTTAAAATCAAAGTAACTAAAATTTTGCAGCATTTTACACCTGTAATCCCAGCAGCTCACGAAGCTGAGAAGCAGGAGGATCGCAAGTTCAAAGCCAGCTTCAGCAAAAGTGAGGTGCTAAAGCAACTCAGTAAGACCTTGTCTCAAAATAAAATACAAAATAGGGATAAGGATGTGGCTCAGGGCTTGAGTGTCCCTGAATTCAATCCCAGGGACAGAAACCCCTCACCCCCCAAAATCATGAAAGTTAAAGGGTTTGGGTTCCTGGGATTGAAAATACAGTGAAATCAGGAAATAAGAAGGTAGGAAGTAATGAATTAGGTTCTTAGTTGAAAATTTCTTTGCAAAAGAAAAACAACACGATTAGAGCTGTATGCTACAAAAATCACTGTGGTGCAGGCAAGCAAGCAAGAAAACCAACCAGAAGATACTACTTTATAAGATACTACTGGAAAGTAGTATAAAGATACTACTGGAAAAAGTATAAAGATACTACTGGAAAAGAAGATACTACTGGAAAGTAGTATAAAGTTCAAAGAAATTAATCATGGAAAATGTATGATTAGTGAAATTGGTTTGAATAAAAACTCTTTTCTTTTAAATGACCTCATCCAACTTAATGAAAATATATTTAAATTTTCACACTTATGGAGATAATACACCTAAAACTCAGGGATGTGTATTTGTGTGTATGTGTGTGTATATAAAGTTCTTAGCAAAGTATCTGTAGAGCTTCAGATTGACATGACTGCAGCTACCTTGAGTCAACTGTCATGACTGCCTCTGATTAACCCTGGTCTGTTTTCCCCCCACATAGTTTTCCAGCATGCTATAAATAAATGAAACCAATAGAGTGGTATGTTGAGCTTTTACTGACATGGACCCTGTCATCATTAGTTCCAGGTATGTGCCTGATATTCTTGATATTAGCTTAAGATAAAACAGGTACATTCCAGCTTTGATGAGGTTATTTTTTCTCTTATCTTCTTTCAAAGTCCCTGACCTCTGACCCAAATTGTGAGTATGCACATGGTTTTATTGCCATTCAGGATGGTGTTTCTGTCAATTAGTCCTCCATTAAACTTCACTTTGTGCAATCTTGGATCTGACTACCTCAGTTCTTTAGTCTCCCAATACATTGGAGCCAGCTATTATTATACACTGGGTTGCTCTGAAATATTCGGAACACAATGTGAACTCATTAAGCATTAGCGCCCTCCAAATCAATGAAGTGATCTAAACGATATGCAACAATTAAGCAATGGCATCAGATATACAAAATGGAGAAAAATAAGTACAAATGATGTGAAGCATTTTTTTTCTTCAAATAAGAAAGACTCTGGAAAGATGATGGCAGCTACAATGGCACTATCAATAGCTACAAGATCTACATGTACCAACATCTACACAGAAGAATGCTACGGGAAGCAA